TCTCGAACCTGCAGACCTGTGACCGGCTGATAGCAGGACAGGCATCTGTGCTAAACGCAGACACCCCACACCTTCCATGCTGCGGTTCCTATACACCTGAGCAAGTCCAAGCTCAAAGTGTCAGCGGCACCCTGCGCCCCCGAGCCTCTGGGGAAGGGTCCCCCTGTCTCCTCCAGCTTCTTTGGCTTGTGCATACACCTCTCCAGGGTCCGCCTCGTCCCCGCGTGGCCTTCTCCTCTTTCGCTATGTCTGTGTCCAGATGTCCCTCGTGCAAGCACACCGCCGCACTGGGGCATATAACCTTGTCCTAACTCGCTGACTGCAGAGACCCTACTTTCCAAGTAAGGGTCCATTCCCAGGGACGGGGGGGTGGACTTCAACACGCCGTTTTTTGGGGGACACAGTGAAACTCATAAGCCTTTGTCATACTTCTGATGTCAGGTCGGGGGTCGGCCCCGCACTGCCCCCAATGCAGGCTGAGTGAGAGAATTCATCTGGGCTCCTGCACGGCCAGTTCTCAGTGCCCAGGACCGAGCTCAGCACTGACTCATGGAATGTTTCCCGGGCTCTCACCCCTCTGGATTTCTGGTTTGTCAAAAATAGGAACCTCTGCTTAAAAAAAAAAAAAAAAAAAGATTTTATTTCTTTGACAGATAGAGATCACAAGTAGGCAGAGAGGAAGGCAGGGAGAGAGGAGGAAGCAGGCTCCCCGCTGAGCAGAGAGCCCGATGCGGGGCTCGATCCCAGGACCCTGGGACCATGACCTGAGCCGAAGGCAGAGGCTTTAACCCACTGAGCCACCCAGGCACCCCAAATAAAATCTTAAAAAAAAAAAAATCAACATGTATGTTGAGACCCCATGCAGGTGTAAGAAATAATCCGGGAGGCCCGGTGCCACCCGCACCCGGTTTCCCCTAAGGCGACTGGGCACAACACACACGCAAACCAGTCGCATAGTCTCGTGACCAGAACGCTGGCGCTGATGTCCTGCCCCATCTTTGGCAGCTTTCTCCAGCGCTGCTTGGACGTGGGTACGTATTCATGTGTATTGAGTTTTCTGCCGTGTTACCCTGTGGAAACCTGGGTGTCCACCAGCATGATCAAAACACAGGACAGTGCCACACCACAAGCAGGGCAGGGCTGGGTAACAACCCCACCCCCAAAGAGACCGGCTCCCTGATCCGTGTGCCACTGTAGAAGGAGCTTTGCAGATGGGGGTAAGTTACAAATCCTGATGTGGGGGCGACCCTGGGTTCCCGGTGGGGGGGTGTCCCGCCATCCTCACGAGAGGGAGGCAGAGGGTGGGGGTCCCAGAGGTGGTCAGACCCTGTGCTGCTGGTGGGGAGGATGTAGGGGGGTGGCTCACGGGCCCAGAAGAGACAGGAACCAGGTTTCCCTGGGGTCCTGGGGGGACTAGCCCTGCCCATGAGGGGTTTAGACCCCCTGACCCCCCATGTCAGATTTTTTTTTTTTTAAGATTTTATTTGACAGAAATCACAAGTACACAGAGAGGCAGGCAGGCAGAGAGATAGGGAAGCAGGCTCCCTGCCGAGCAGAGAGCCCCTATGCGGAGCTCAATCCCAGGACCCTGGGATCATGACCCGAGCCAAAGGCAGAGGCTTTAACCCACTGAGCCACCCAGGCGCCCCCCATGTCAGATTTCTGATCTCCAGAATAGTGAAATAACAGCTATGTTGTGCTGAGCTGGTAAGTTTGGGATGGGAAACCACACTCAGTGATCTCTTGTGCTATCCTTTCTTCCTTCATTAATGAAATATTTTAAAAAATCAAAATCAATGCAAAAAACCCAAACTCTTATTATTTTTTAAGTTTATTTATTTGAGAGAGGGTAAGCAAGAGAGAGAAAGAGAGATCATGAGTGGGGGTAGGAGCAAAGGGAGAGGGAGAAGCAGGCTCCGCGCTGAGCAGGAAGCCCGAGGACATGGGTCTCCATCCATCCCTGAGATCATGACTTGAGCCGAAGGCAGATGCTTCACCAACAGAGCCACCCAGGTGCCCCGAAATCCAAACTTTTAAATAAAGACAGGATCCAACTTTGACCTCGCCCAAGCCCCCTCCCGGGCCTCAGCCAAATCCCAGCCTTGTCAGAGGCTGTCTTGGATTTAAAATAAAACAATCAAGTCAGATGGTGGAGGTGGAATTTTTGATTCATGTAAAACTTGCTCCCCCCACCCCTAAGTGTGCATCATGTTCTGTTGGAAATGAAAGTAAGAAACACCAGAGATCTGGCCACTTTTTCATCACCATCGGAATGTTTTTTTGAAAATACAGCATCTATGGGGCACCTGGGTGGCTAAGTGGGTTAAAGCCTCTGCCTTCAGCTCAAGTCATGATCTCAGGGTCCCAGGATCAAGCCCCACATCGGGCTCCCTGCTCTGCGGGGAGCCTGCTTCCTCCTCTCTCTCTGCCTGCCTCTCTGCCTACTTGTGATCTCTGTCAAAGAAATAAAATCTTAAAAAAAGAAAAGAAAATACAGCATCTGAATTGTTCCCTTTAGCTCTGCTGTTCCATTGGAGCTAGAATGCTGTGTGGAGTGAGAAGCAGCAACGAGCAGACACGGTGTTTTTTTTTTTTTTTTTAAAGATTTTATTTATTTATTTGACAGAGATCACAAGTAGGCAGAGAGGCAGACAGAGAGAGAAAGGGAAGCAGGCTCCCTGCTGAGCAGAGAGCCCGATGCGGGACTCGATCCCAAGACCCCAGGACCATGACCTGAGCTGAAGGCAGAGGCTTAACCCACTGAGCCACCCAGGCACCCCCAGACACGGTTATTGAATCTGGTGGTGGGTCTGAGGAAGGATGATTGGACCTTGTCTGGAACGGTAGATATTCAAGAAGTTGTTTCATTTGACACTTGTTTGATTTTAAAGATTTTTTAAAACTTTCTTTAAAAGATTTTATACGTATTTTTTAACTAATCTCCACACCCAACATGGGGCTCAAACTCACGACCCCAAGATCAGGAGTCTCATGCTGTCCTGACTGAGCCGGCCGGGCGCCCTGCTCATCTGACTTTTATTGATCTGTTCTATGCTAGGCACTGCTTTGCACCTTCTGTGTTCAGTAGAATTTTCTACGACAGACATATTCTGTATCTGCACCGTTCAGTAGGATAGCTACTAGCCAGAGGGGGCTGGGGGCTATGGAGCATTTCAAAGGTGGCCAGTGTAGCTACAGAAGTGACTTTTTTAATTTTCAAAATTTAATTTAGGGGGGCCTGGGGGGCTCAGTCTGTGAAGCATCTGTCTTCCGCTCAGGTCATGATCTCAGGGTCCCAGGACTGAATCCCGCCATCAGGCTCCCTGCTCAGTGGGAAGTATGCTGCTCCCTCTCCCTCTGCTGCTCCCCCAGCTTGTGTGCACTCTCTCTCTCAAATAAATAAAATATTTTTAAGAACAAAAAATAAATAAAATTTAATTTAGAGGTGGAAAAATCTGATACTTGATCCAGTTGTTGGAAACGTTTGAAGCACGCTTGTACGTGAATTTACTTGTCCCACTGTCAATTTTATACATTGTAGAGATCAAGGTTTAACAATGACAATTAGCACCAAACTGAGATGGGCTGCGAGCGCACACATACTGGGTTTTAAGACATTATGAGAAAAGAACAAACGGTATCTCACTGGTAACTGTTGATTCTGATAAAACGTTGAAATGTAACTATTTTGGACACATTAAGTATATTAAAATTAAATACACTGGTTTCTTTGTATTTTTAAAATGCGGCTAACAGGAAAACTTAAAATCTACTTCTCTGGCTCGGGCGATGTGTTTATTGGATGACGCCAGGTCCCGCGCTGTGGGCGGAGCTCACTGAAGTCAGGTACAGGTGCGTCGCCTAAGTGCATCATTTCCTACCAAACATACAGAAACCCGGAGCCACGGCCTCTTTCTTTCCTTCAAACCTGCGCCCACATGTCCCCGATGGGCCGCGTTAGAAACCCATCCTTCCTGGTTTTATTAGTCCGCCGAGGCCGTCCACCCGGCGCCCCGCGCCTTCTCCCCGCCAGCCAGGGCGGCGCGACGCGGACAGAGGGCCCTCGGCCTGCGCGATCCCCGTGCCGTCTGCCCTGCTCGGTTACTGTGACCCGTACTCTGGGTCTCCGTGTGCGGACGTTTCGGCGGACCCGGCTCCGGCTCCCCCGGGCAGACGGGCGCGCAGGAGGGGACTCGCCCGGGCCTCCGGGAAGCCCGCGGGGGACCGAGTCTCTGCGGGGCGGCCGCACCGTCCGCACGGCGGCTGCCCACGTCCCACCCCACCCGCGTCGCGGCCCCCCGCACTCGCCCTGCCTCCCGCCCTTTCCTCAGGGCGCCCAGGCGGCCGTGAAGGGGTCGCTCGCTGGTTTGACTCGCCTTTCCCGGCGCGTCACGGTGGCGAGCCCCCGTGCGCTGCTCGGCCCGTCCTCCCCTTGCCCTTTGGAAGATGTCCGGATCCTCCGCCCACGGGGGGTGGCGGCGTGAGGCGGAGACGGCCAGGGCCCGGGCGAGCACGGGGTGGGAGCGCGGTAACCTGGGCCGGCCGGCCGGAGGTCCCGCCGCGGGCGGTGCGGTCTTTCCCGGCCGGACGGGCACCAGCCGCTGCGCGCACCCGCGCCTGACCACGCAGCGTCACTGCCCTCACCGGGTGCGGGCCCGCTCTCGAGGGCCCGGGCCTGGCACCGTCCCCTGCGGAGAACCACGTCCTAAACTAAGCGGAGCCATTCCCGCAGATCCCACGCAACGGGCTCCGCCCGCCCCGGGGGACCCCGCTGGCCTCGGTCGCCCGTGGCAACGCGTGTCGCCGCGCTTCCTGTATTGATTCGAATCACGGGCGACGTCACGTCCTCCCGAGATGCCCGACGCGCGCAGGCGCAGTCGTGCAGGGTGGGCGGGGCGGGGCGCGGCCCCCGCGGGAGGCCCGGGCGCGCGGGGGCGGGGCGGGGCGGGGCGGCCGCACGCAGCGCGCCGGCGCGGGGGCGTGGCTGGCCGCGGGAGCGCGCGCGGCGGAGGAGGGCTCCGGGAGGCCGCGGAACAGCGACCGCCGCCATATTAAGGAGCGCGGAGCCCGGGGTCCCGTCCGCGGCGGCCGCGGCCGGACCAGTGGAGCTGCGGGCGGCTGAGGCCGGTGCGGCGCGGCGCCGGGAGAGGCGGGGTCGGCGCAGCCAGCAGGCGACCGGAGCGAGCCAGGTGAGGCGGCGGGGTCTGAGGACCCGCCCCCCGGGCCCGAGCCGCGACCGCCCGAGCGGGGCCGGGGCCTGACGGCGGCGCGGGCCTTCCCACCGCCCGACACCGGGCTGGCGGCCCCCACGCTCGGGCCCCTCCGGGAGCCTGCCAGCCCCCCTGAACCCGCCCCCCTGCCGAGCTAGGCCCGGGGTGACCTCCGCACCTTCCTCCCGTCTTCACCCCCAAACCGGCCCTGCGTGAGCGCCCCGGCCCGAGCCACCGGCCGCCCGAGACCTGCGCCGCGGCTCGCGTCCGCGGTCCGCTAGACACGGGCCCGAGCCGACCCCTTCCCAGCTCGGCGCCTCTTCTCTGGCCTCTCGAGCCCGCCTTCCAAATTGGGGCCATCCCGGCGCAGGCCCTGCGCGGTCGAGCCTGCCCCCCATGGCTGTCACGACGCGGCGGGGCTCGAACCGGGCCCCCGGGGCGAGTAGACGCAGGTGTGGGGACCCTGTCGGTGTGGGCGCCCCTCCGGGTTCCTGGCACCCAGAAGCACTTGGGCATTGCCGTTGGGGCGCATCCGTGATCCGCCTCGCTCCTAGCCCCACGGCCTTCTGCTCCCCCGGCCCCCCGGCTTGACCCTTTGCAGCTGCCGTCGCGCCGGTGTCCAGCTCTCCGTGTGGGCCCTGACCCCACCAAACTCGTACAGGGCCTGGCTCTGCCCAGCCACCCGCCTGCCCCGCAACATCCCGCCTCTTCCTGGAAGCCCCCCGCCGCCAGCGGGAGCCCCCAGGGGTGGACTGCTTCTCCCCATATCAGCCGTGCTCCCCCTCGCGTTGGGTCTGCACTGTCTAGACTCGCCCCCAGCGCAAAGCCGGAGACCCTCCGCTCTGCAGCTGTCTAGCCTAGACCTGTTTTGTTCTTCCCTGTTCTTTTCCCCGCGAAATCCGCCCCTCTTTCAGGCGCCTGTCATGCTGGGAACTAGCCCCCCCTTCACTCCAGTCTGCAGAGTGATGACCTCATGCCTCCCGCTGGTGAGGCTGCACCACGCCCTCGCCCCCCCCCCAACTTCTTACTATGCTTGAAATGGGGAGGATTTACCAAAAGAAAACCAGTCCGCACCAGCATGCCCAGCTGCTCCCCCTACCCCAGATTGGGGGCAGGTGAGGGGGTCTTCCAAACACAGGAGGTTGGGTGGTCTCCTGGTGGACGATGGGGGGGTGTTTGCACACTAGAGGCTGATGAGATCTTCTGGGGACAGTGCCCAGAGTGGTGCGTTGTCCCCTAGAACACATTCTAGGCTGTTGTTCGTGCAGGATTCCTCGTGGGCCGTCTCCGCCCGGGAGGTCACGCGCCCCTTCTGTTCCAGCAGAAACCACTGGACTGCCGTGCTGTCCTGGCCCCAGAGCAGGCCGGTGTGCTGGCTGTTAGGGGCACTTGCAGAGGGAACAAGGTTCCACTGTTCAGGAGGGTTTGGTTGAGCATTCTGGGCTCCCCCCTCTGAAACCCGGGCTTCTGGCCCTTGGACAGCTCTTGGTTCAAAGGACGGGTGCTTTGCTGGGTGGTGGGCAGTGTCCAGGGAGCGAGCCATGCTGGCCGTTTTGGAGCACCCCCCACTCCCCGTGACTGTTTTCCAGGGGAAATCTCAGACCCCCGTGGCCCAGCCAGTGGCAGTGGCTGTTGGGGGCTAGGGGAGAAGTGCCTGCAAGCAGATGGGGAGGCGATGAGTTTCCAGACGCTGGTCTGCCTCCACTCACACGAGGCTCTGTGTCAGCAAAGTTTCCCAGTACTGCTTGTTGGGGCCTCTGGCCTGGCAGGTTTGGACCAGAGTGGGGCTGGTTGTGGGGACCTTTGGCTTGGTAGCACTGAGCAGGATGAGAGGGTCCCAGATGGTTCTGTTTGGAGGGTGGATCCTGGACCTTCAGGATCAAGGGACTTGGTCTTTTCGGAACCAGTGAAATGGCACTGCCGTCGTCACTCTCTTCTAGAGCAGAGGTTCTCACCTGGAGACGTGGGTGCTGTCTGGGCACATCTGTGGTGATCACGACTGCGGGCCCTCTTGGCATCGGGTGGGTGGGGTCAGGGATGCCCAGAGCCTGCTCAGTGCCCCATAAGGCTGGAGCTTGAGAACACTGGCTGGAGTGGGAGCTAACGGGTGGGGACAGCCAGAGGGTAGGGTCCACCTGCCATCCTGGGAGTTGGCACAGGGAGCGGGTGGCCGTCAGAGCTGGGGAAGGAATATTGAGCTGCCCCTCTTCCGCCCCGAAGCTTCCCACAGTCTGGTTTCTGATCCATCACTGGCCCCAGTAGCCTCCCCCTTGTCAGGGCCACTGGTCACCGTCCTGGCCACCTCTCACTCCGCCTGCCCGAGCTTTGGTGCTGGCAGAGCGGCCGCAGGTGGTGGGCGGCTTGGAGCTGGTTACGTCCTGCAGCTGCTTCCTTCTGTCGAGCACCGAGACTCGCACACAGAGCTCCTTCTTGGGCGGCGCTAGCGCTCCGGACACTGTGCCCCCAGCCGCCGTGCATCCTTGTGTCCTTGGCACGACTGCTTTCTCCTACTGTGGCTTCCTCGCTGTTCCAGAACAGGCGACACGTCGCATCCCAGCAGGTGCAGCTGGTTTGGTCCTCGACCGTCGTGCCGAACGAATGACCCCCGGCCCCCGAAAAGTGGACTGTGGATTCCACTCTCCCCGGGCTTCCTACACCTCCCCGCCAGCGAGCAGCCTCCTTTACTGGCCCTGCTTTTCCTTATTTGCCGAATCTTTGCTGGTAACACATCGATTCGGATAGAATTGCCGTGCCATGTGATTTACCGATTTAAAGTATACAGTGCAGCGCTTTTCAGTTTTTGCGTCTATCACCTTAATTCCAGAACATTCTCATCGCTCCAAACAAACCTTCTTCCCTTTACCCATCAGTCCTGCACCCTCCCCAGCCCCAGCAACCACTGCCCCATTTTTTCTGTCAGGCTGAGTCTGGTCTGGGCGTGTCACATGCGTGGACTCACACCCCATGTGGCCGTCTGTGTCTGGGTCCCTCCCTGAGCGCTGTGAGCTCGGGGTCTCTTCCCGGGGCGGCACGTGGGGGCCTCGCTCCTGCTGGCGGCCACTGGACGCTCCCGCGCGTGGGGGACACGTGTGTATCTCCTCCCCAGGTGGCGGACACTTGGGCTGTCACCACCTTTCTCCTGTGGGGACCAGAGCTGCTGCGAACAGTTGAGCACAGGTTCTCCCGTGGTGACCCTCATGTTTGATCTGAACTCAGATGCGGCTTTGCTCTCTGCACACCTTCTTGGTGGGCACACTTCACTTCCTGTCCTCATTTGCTGCTGGTGCCAAGGCTGGCTCTGGAACTCCAGGCCCACGTGGCCAGTGCCGGTTGTCGTCTGGGTGTCCTGCAGGCATCCGGGCTGATTAGCATGAACCTTTCCCGCCCTGGCCTCACAAGGTCCCTCGTCTCCATCCCCCATCCTCTCGGGACTGCCCGCTTCCTCACCTGGCCTGGGCAGGCACAGTTGGGTCCCCTTGGTCCCCCTGCTCCCTGGTGCTCTGCCCAGTCTCCACGGGACGCCACCTTCAGTGCCTAGAGGCACAACTCCTGCCACTCCCGGTCCCCCTGTCCTGCCATCCGCCCCAGGACGAGGCCCAGAACAGTGCTCTTCCGGCCTCCCCTGTCCCTCTTCCGGCCCCTAGCTCGTTCTCACACCGAGCCGCCCCGAGCCTCTGTGTGGTTCTCTAGGACAGCACCTGCTCCTACCAGATCCCGTGCCTTTTCGCTCGTGCTCTGCCCAGAGGAAGGATTGGTGGGTTTGTGCGGAAAGGGTCCGGCTGTATTTGCATGGGGTCCTACGAGAAGGGGAAAGACGCAGAGGCGGGCTGGGGTGGAGGTGGCATGGGGGGGGTTGGTGAGGGGGCAAGGGCAGGGGCCGACGGCTGCTGGGAGCTGTCTGTCTGCACTTACAGGAGGCTGAACGGCAAGAGACAGGTCAGCACTGGTGTCTTGGGCCTGAGAGAAACTGCTCCTCCCCCAGAGGAGTCCGGGGGCTTGGGTTCACTGCGGGCCGTGTCTGGGGATATTTGTGCTTGTCAGTGGGTGTTCTGGCGTTGGGGGTGGGGGCCAGGGGTGCTGCTCAGCCCCCAGCCGTGCCCATGATGGCCCCTACGGAGAGTGACGTGGCCCAGTGCCAGCAGGTGGGTTTGGGGGTCCTTGCCCTAAACGTACTAGGTTTTAGGGTTTTCTTCTGCCCCCACCTGGAACCCAGAGGTGGGATCCATGGAGAGACATAATCGAGGAAGCACTTTGTGATGCTCAAGGCTACCTGTGAGGGGGTGAGTTCCCCATCCCTACAGGTGTGTGAGCAGATGCTATTGTGAGGGGCTCACCCTGAACCCCTTTAAGGCCTGTCCAGCCTGTGATCAGGCGCTCTGACATAAGCCATAGCTGCAAACACGTACGCGAGCATAAATCGCTCAGGGCTGTTGCCAAGTCATCCTTCCTTTGTGGGGGAGGCAGGTTGCGTCCTCTGCACTGGTGAGGACCCTAAAGCCCTCGGGGCTGGATGTCTCACCCCGTCTTACTGGAGAATGGACGCCTAGCAGTGCCCAGTAGAGCTGGGAGACAGTGGCCTCACCTTGGGCGCATTTCTGGGGCTTCACGCAGCTTCACGCAGCTGTGCTCTTCTGGGGAGCTGACCATGTCTCCCGGGGCCATTGTCACAGGCTAGAAAGGGGAGCCTTTGGTCCAGAAAGCCCGCCAGGCCTGGGGCGCAGGATTGCTGATGAACCCTGGGGCCTGTCTGCACAGAGGGAGGTCAGGCGTGCTAGAACGCGCTCCTCAGGAGCCCTTGCCCCCGAGCCTCCCCAGAAATAACTTGACCCTCGTGCTGATTTGTACCAGCCCCCGGGGGGAGGTATATCATCTCCCTGTCCTGTGTCAGGGGCGGTCCCTTTTGATTCCAGCTCTCCCAGGCCTGCCTTCTGCTATAGCGCAAGGAGAGGGACCACTAGCACATCGCGCTCCCTCCACTG